ATCTCGCGATTTCAACGGAATCTAACCCGCAGATTTGATAACATTTTGACGGTTTACTCGCAGAAAGAAAATAAAAGTCAAGTTTAAACATAAAAGGAAGGTTTGAAGAGAAATAGAAGATTTCCGCAGAAAAGGAAGGATCGAGAAGAATGGAAAATTCCCGATTTAAGTCAAATCTGGGCGAAAAGGAAAGATCGGATAGCCAAGACGAGGAGTATATAAAGAGGAGGTCTAGGGCAGAAGCAGACACACGAAATTCAGAGCTCTCACCACCAAAACTAGCATTTAGGAATCTTTCCGTTTTTCTGTTAGCGAGCTGCGTCTCAATTAGGGTTTTCTAGTTCTTACGCTTTCGGCTACTCTTTTTGTACCAGTTCAACGCAGATTCGGAATAAGAACCTCTTTGCTCTCTATTTTCGTTTATTCTCATTTTGATTCTAAGTTATCGTTTTCTTATTTTCGTTGTGCGGTTCTCGCAGATAGCCGCTTCCTCTGGAAACTTAGGGTTTTCCCGAAGTTTCCTTATTTACGATTTATTTGACAGTAGGGTGAAATCGACTCCCACAACTACATTCACCTTTCCTGGCTTATATTCCAAAGGGTAATCGAACTCAGCCAGAAAGTCTTGCCATCTTGCCTGCTTTTGGGACAACTTCTTCTGGGTCTGAAAGTAACTCGTCGCCAGGTTGTCGTCTTGACCGAAAAGTGTGCCCCCAGAAGATAGTGTCTCCAAACTCGTAAGCAATGAACTATTGCAGTCATTTCTTTCTCCTGCACTGTGTACCGCCTCTCTGTATCATTCAGCTTACGACTCTCATAGGCAATCGGATGTCCTTTCTGCATTAATACTCCCCCAATAGAAAAGTCGGAGGCATCCGTGTGTAACTCGAAAGGTAGGCTGAAATCGGGTAAGGCAAGGACATGGTCTTGACTCACTGCCGTTTTCAGCTCCTCGAAGGCTTCTTGACACCGATCAGACCATTCCCACGTCTTCCCCTTCTTGAGAAGGTCCGTCAGTGGCGCTGCCCTTCTCGAGTATCCCTCGATGAACCGCAATAGGGTTCCACTGATCCCACATGCGCGCCCTAAGATCAAAAATTTCGGGCCTGCATGTCTTTCTTCTGACCCACATGCCCCAATCGTGCGGAATATACTTCAGTAAACGAATACCCTTCGTTCTGAGTAAGGGACAACCCATGAACGACACCGAGACATTCGCGATAATCACCATGCACTCGTAGAGCAACATCGCCATCCGAACAACCAGTTGCAAATCGCTCACGACGGACCTTCATCTCATCAGCAACCTGTCTTTTGCCAGCACGACGAGCACAACAAATTTTTTGGTCAGAAAGCTCCTTGGCGCGGCAAGATCTAGCTGCACACTCTTCCCTCACGCGAGCTATTTCCTTCTCGACTGTTTCTTCGGCTTGGTTAGCCTCAGCCTCCGCCCGAAGACGAGCAACTTCTTTTTTGGCCATATCTGCTCGGAACTCGGCAAGACGAGCTTCAGCATTACGGCTGTCTAGGGCCCGGCTCATGACAAGGAAACCCTACCAAAAGAAAAGAATTAAGGGACATCATCCGATGATAAAATCGCTCAAAAAAAAAAATAAACACACGTATCTCTTTAGCTTTCTCAGACACTCTAGTAAACTCCGGGACTTGATCATGATCAACGCCCGGAAAAAGGGAGGTCGATGATCCGCCCGCTTTCATCCAGACACCTTGTTCCGTTTGACTATCAAGGAAGTCCTTGAGAATGTTGTCAGGAAAGGCCGCACGTTCAGAATCGTCATCTTCAACAACCGGATTTTAATCCCTTATCTCGACCCGCTTCTCCTCATTGAGGGAACGTATGGGATAAATTCTCCTATAAACGGATCCTCTCCATAACTCGTCGAGTCTGCAAAAAGCTGAGATCGGGAGAGAGCAACCGCCCGGTGGACACGCTGCGGAGAAAAACTGCCCCATCCAACTTCCCCGCGCTTAACTAAGTCAGTGATATTCAGAAGATCTACCGGATGCGGAGGTAAAGGGTTGGTCTCTGTGGAAAACGAAAACAAATAAAAAGGGGGGACAGCAAAAGGAGGAAATTTGCACGAACTTGAATCACGTACCTTTCCGACCCCATACGGTCGTGAAAAACGAAATGCAACCCTCCTCGACCGACGCACTATCAATGCGAACATAGAAGAAGTTTTTCTTCCAAGAAGGAGAGATCGATGAACAACCAGTGACAATTCTTTCACGAGGGTGCAAAGTGATCCTCTGCGTCATCTCCGTGGGTTTCAATACACCTTCGAGATGGTCAACGCTGAGGATGATTCCATGCTCGTAGCTCAGCGTCAAAAGACCAACAAGTTGTTTTAAACTAGGGGGAGTCAACTGACTGATCGATAATCCCAGCCTATGAAGATATCGAACAATGACCTCCGGGATCGGAAACCACAAGTGGCATTGCAGCAAAAAGTCGTTGTAGCACGTAAAAAAGCCATCAGGCGCAGCCTTTTCGCTCTCCCCGGCAAGTGGAAGGCGAAACTCGACCGCTTCTGGAACTTGGCAAAATTCTCGCATGAACTCAATATTGTTAGGAGGAACCGAGTTCGGATGTCCGGATGCTTGATCAGCCTCAAACAAAACTGGGACCCAAATCCCAGGCCTAGTGGATCCCGACTCTTCTCCCAACGCCCAAAAAGCCGCACGATCTGCCGGATCGATCGAAGGAAACGAGCATTCCTCCTTGGGAACTGAAACTCGAGGTTGCGAGCTCGATCCTTCGGAGTTACGAGAGTCAGAGCTGGTTGAGGAGTGATTTCTTCTTTGGGAGAAATAGATTCAAAGGAAATAGAGAGAAAGTTTCTTGGACAAGTTATGGAAGGTGAAGTAAAGAATTCAAAAATTCACTCCAAATACTTATAAGAAAAATTTTACTATTCACCTTTGGACTTTTGGCCATTAAAGTTCCGTCTAATTCTACCAAACTCGCCAAACAAGCTCGATCCGCTCGCAAGAACTCAAACGATTCTTACGAACTAGGGGGCTAACTGTAGGGGTCAAAATCGGTACGACGAAATCAATGACCAAAACTCCCCGTAGAAATATAAAAGAAATCATTTTATAAAACTCAAGAATCGTTTTATAGAGCTCGAGAATCGTTTTATAAAACTCGAGAATCGTTTAATAAAACTCGAAGAATCGTTTTATAAAACTCGAAGAACCGTTTTACAAAACCGCGAAAAACCAAAACCGCCGTAGAACGCGAACTAGCCTCGTCCCGGCTAGTTCGCCCAACGGCAAACTAAGCCAAGCCAGCTTAGTTCGCCCAACGGCGAACTAGGCCATGACCGGCTTAGTTCGCCGTTGGACGAACTAGCCACGTCCCGGCTAGTTCGCCCAACGGCGAACTAGCCTTGTCCCGGCTAGTTCGCCGTTGGGCGAACTAGAAGCTTCCCGGTCAGTCCACCGGCCGGCAAGTCGGACCAGTCCGGCTCGGTTCGCCGTACGTCGCATCGACCATCCCGATCCTCGATCTCCCGAATCCCCGATTCAGTGCTTACGACCTTCGACACGGCCGTACTCCAAACCATGTTCAAGATGTCTCCGGTTTCATCTCGATCCGACCTATCATTCGAGTTTTACGATTAAAACCGTAAAACTTTGTTTTCTAAAAAAGAACTCGAGGAAATCGTATAAAACGGTAACGGTTAAACGAGAACACCGAACATTGCCTAAACTATACGATTTATTCGATATTTTTCGTTAAAATCATAAAACGTGTTTTTAATAAAAAAAAGTTGAGAAAATCATAAAAACGGCATTGGATCAGGAAACGGTCTCGTATAAAGTCGTAAAACGGAATTTATCGTAAACCGGTCCGAAAGGTCCAAAAACACGATAAAAACCCAGCTCGCGATATTAACGAAGCTAAACCCGAGGATACGATAACGTTTTGGTGGTTTACTCGCAGAAGGAAGATAAATGTCAAGTTTGAAGACAAAAGGCAAGTTTGGAGATAAATCGAAGATTTCCGCGGAAGAAAAGGAAGGATCGAGAGAAATGGAAAATTCCCGATAAACTCAGTTTCGGGCAAAATGGAAAGACTAAAACCACCTAAGAGGGAGATATAAGCAAGAGGCATAGGGCAGAAGCTGGGACACGATTTTCAGTGCTCTCACCACCAAAATTAGCATTTAGGAATATTTCTGTTTTCTGTTAGCGAGCTGCGTCTCAACTAGGGTTTTCGTTCTTAGACTTCTAAGGATTTCGCCGACGGCTCACGCAGCTAAGGCTACTCTCATTGTAACAGTTCTTACGCAGATTCATAATAAGAACCTCTTTGCTCTCGATTTCATTTATTCTCTTTTGAATTCTAAGTTCGTCGTTTTCTTAATCTTCGTTGTGCGGTTCTGCAGATAGCCGGTTCCTCTGGAAACTTAGGGTTTTCCCGAAGTTTCCTTATTTACAATTTATAGACAGTAGGTGGATTTCGGTTCCCACATATGTATAGGTGGACCAGAGTCGCTTTATCTCAGCAGATTCCCCTTAGACAAGGCATCGCTCTGAGACGCCCTATCCTCCAGGTCCTCATTTAGGCCGGAACCGTGTTTGGAGCCTGGAGTAAGTCGAGTTTCCCTTGGTAAAATGGTGTTCTGTAGACATCTTCAGGGCCGGAGCTTCTGGGGATTGATGACGCAGGGTCGCGCTCTGGGGTGCCTCGGAAGATCGAGAAAAACCTAGCCGTCGGTGTTGGATTTTGGAATATCTGCTTTCCTTTTTTGAATTATTGCCCATATCACACCTGTTTTCCTGAATCTCCGGGAGGCGGGATTCTTTGTTTTGAATTTTTGAAAATTGGATCTGACTCGAGATTCGAGGGTATCATTTGTGATGTCTTTAAATGCTCCTCCATTTCTTTGAGGAAGATCTTCATAAGACTTAATTGCATTTTTGATCTTCTTAAGTCGAGGATATCTTTTTGCTTGTGGGGTGGTTTCATTATGTCAAAACGCTCTAGTTCCTCGGTTCCCCTGACGGCTGAGAAGTCGTACTCAAAGAGGAGGATGGACTCTCCGATATCAGAGTCTGAGCTCGGGATCTTGTCTCCGGCTCCTTTAACTTGTGTCTCGCCGCCTTCTTTGGATGTGGGTCCATTGTCGTCAGTTATGGAGGATGATTTAATCCAGTGGCGAAAGGACTACCAGCTCTCTTCATCTGTTGTCCTTCGTGTCCCTGCTTCGTCCGAGCATGCTTCTATGGGCAGGCCTGAGGAGGTTTCGGTTCTCAGGTTGCGGTTTACAAGGCTTTCTTTGAGTCTGGTTTCCGAGGAAATATTCCGTCGTTGATTGCGGATCTCTGCGACTTCTTTTGGATTTCTCCCTCCCAGCTAAATCCTTCGACTTGGCATATCCTTATTGCCATTCAAAATTTGAGTGATGTGGAATGCCTTCCTCTGGGCGTCGACGAGGTGCTGTTTTCTTATCATCTTCCTCCGCTAAATGGAGGGGAAGTTCGCTTTCACCTTCGGCCTCGCAGTGGCCTACCTGTTGTCGAGGAATTTCCAAAAAGTGATTGCAAGGGTTTATCTTTCGTGAAGAGGTGGCCAGAAAGATATGCGTTCATGACTCTTCCTGGTTCTCACTATCAGTGGAACCTTGTTGGTAAGAAGATTTGACATCTTTGAGAGATGGTAGGATTTACATGACTCCTGGTAATATGTTGCAGGTGGGACTCATCTGGCCCGTACGGGCGGAGAAGCCAATGTTCTCAGGGCTCGCGCCCTTCCCCTTGCGCAGCGTCAAGTGGCCCATCTCTTAAGTCTCGCCGTGATGGGTCGTATCAGGCTTCGGGGTGAATTCCTTTCTTTGACGCTAACCATATTCCTTCACTTTCTCGACTTGACCGATGATGATTATTTTAAGCAGACAGCATGGTTGAAGAGGATCCGATCGAGGCCTTTAACAGGGCAATTGAGGCAATTTCAGAGAGGAAGGGTGTTGCTACCTCAGTCGCTTCGGGGGATGACGTTATGATAACTGGGAGCAGACGTAAGATGGTAATCAAAAGCGAGGCCGTTCCCTCTTTTCAGTGGAGAAAGTTGAGGAGTATGACGGCCACTCGGTTGTCTCAACGAACTTTTGGCTCTGAATACGTGGCTGGAGGTTTGTCCAAAGTTCTCAGAGATCTAAATGCTAGGGTGTTCTCTCAGGAGAGTGTCCGTTCTTCGGGTGGAGATCCCGCAGAGGTGATCTTAATTCTTCAGAAGAAACTTCTTCAGGTAAGGCCAAGATTCTTGCTCTCGTTTCAGCCTTGTTCTCGTGAATCTGATGGGATGGTTCTTCGCACAGGTTGCTTCTCTATTGCATCATCTAGGAGCTCGATTGTCAGAGGAGGATACATCCTCAATCAAGGAGGAAGCTGTTGGGGTCAAAATCGGTACGACGGAATTAATAGCCAAAACTTTCCGCAAGAATACAAAAAGAACGGTTTTATAAAGCTCGAGAATCGCTTTATAAAACTCGAGAAATCGTTTTATAAAGTTCGAGAAATCGTTTTATAAAGCTCGAGAATCGTTTTATAAAACTCAAGAATCGTTTTATAAAACTCGAGAATCATTTTATAAAACTCGAGAACCGTTTTATAAAACTCGAGAGATCGTTTTATAAAACTCGAAGATCGTTTTATAAAACTCGAGAGATCATTTTATAAAACTCGAGAATCGTTTTATAAAACTCGAGAGATCGTTTTATAAAACTCGAAGATCGTTTTATAAAAATCGAGAAATCGTTTTATAAAACTCGAGAGATCATTTTATAAAACTCGAAGATCGTTTTATAAAACTCGAGAGATCATTTTATAAAACTCGAGAATCGCTTTATAAAACTCGAGGGATCGTTTTATAAAACTCGAAGATCGTTTTATAAAACTCGAGAGATCATTTTATAGAACTCGAGGATCGTTTTATAAAACTCGAAGATCATTTTATAAAACTCGAGAATCGTTTTATGAAACTCGAGAGATCGTTTTATAAAACTCGAAGATCGTTTTATAAAACTCGAGAGATCGTTTTATAAAACTCGAAGATCGTTTTATAAAACTCGAGAGATCGTTTTATAAAACTCGAGAGATCGTTTTATAAAACTCAAAGATCGTTTTATAAAACTCGAGAGATCGTTTTATAAAACTCGAGAACTCGTTTTTCAAAACCGCGAAAAACCGAAACCGCCGCAGAACGCGAACTAGAAGGTTCCCGACTAGTTCGCCTGCTGGCGAACTAAGCCAAGCTGGCTTAGTTCGCCAGCAGGCGAACTAGACAGTCTCGACTAGTTCGCCTGCTGGCGAACTAGGCCAGCTTGGCTTAGTTCGCCAGCAGGCGAACTAGACTCCCTCGACTAGTTCGCCTGCTGGCGAACTAAGCCTTGGCTAGTTCGCCTGCTGGCGAACTAAGCCAGCTCGGCTTAGTTTGCCAGCAGGCGAACTAGAGACCTCCCGGAGCCTCGATTTCCCGCATCCCCGATTCGAACATACGACACGGTCGCTTTCTGAACCACGGCCGAAATGTCTCTCGTTTCGTCTCGATCCGACTTACCGTTCGAGTTTTACGATAAAAACCGTAAAACTCTGTTTTCTCGAAAAGAACTCGAAGAAATCGTATAAAACGGCAGCGGTTAAACGAAACACCAAACATTTCCTAGACTATACGATTTATCCGAGATTTTTCGTTAAAATCATTAAAGAACGTACTTTTAATAAAAACGTCGAGAAAATCGTGAAAACGCGTTTTTAGTAAAAGTGTCGAGTAAATCGTAAGAAACGGAAACGATTAACCGAGAAACAAACGTAGTTAAACATTACGGTTAACTCGAGGAATTTACTAAAAAACGGCTTCGAACCCGGAAACGATTCCGCACAAGGTCAAGAAACGGATTTATCGCACAACGGCCCGGAAGGTCCTAAAACGCGATAAAAGCCCATCTCGCGATCTTAACCGAATCTAACCCGAAGATACGATAACGTTTTGACGGTTTACTCGCAGAAGGGAATNTAAAACGCGATAAAAGCCCATCTCGCGATCTTAACCGAATCTAACCCGAAGATACGATAACGTTTTGACGGTTTACTCGCAGAAGGGAATAAATGTCAAGCTTGAAGATAAAGGCAAGTTTGAAGATAAATAGAAGATTTCCGCGGAAGAAAAGGAAGGATCGGGAAAAACGGAAGATTTCCGATATGCTCAAATCTAAACAAAATGGAAAGATCGATTGGCCAAGGCGAGGAGTATATAAGCAAGAGGCATAGGTCAGAGGGAGGGGACACGAAATTCAGAGCTTCCACCACCAAAACTAGCATTCAGGAATATTTCCGTTTTTCTGTTAGCGAGCTGCGTCTCAATTAGGGTTTTCTAGTTCTTACGCTTTCGGCAATTCTTTTTGTACCAGTTCTACGCAAATTCGGAATAAGAACCTCTTTGCTCTCTGTTTTCGTTTATTCTCATTTAAATTCTAAGTATTTTTCGTCATCTTATTTTCGTTGTGCGGTTCTCGCAGATAGCCGGTTCCTCTGGAAACTTAGGGTTTTCCCGAAGTTTCCTTTTTTACGATTTATTTGACAGTAGGGTGAAATCGACTCCCACAGTTTGGCGCTAGAAGGAGGGGGGGTCGGATCTATCTTACACCGTAACCGCAACATGCCCAACGAAGAAACGATGA